CCCCCCCTCTCCCCTCTCCATCCTCACACACATGACATGGTAGGGGAAAGGAAGGCAACCAGGGAATCGACACGCACATACATACATACATACACGCCACGCATCACACCTTCCCCTTCACAAGCATCTATCTCATCGACTAACTAAACACACACTGCACCGGACAGCACCGCACCATGAACACGAGACTGACGCATAGAAATACGGATGGGGAGGGGCCGCATTGCCCGCATGGCATGGCATCGCATGGCATCGCATCATGTCACCTACCTGCAGCGCGTCGGTACACCCATAGAACTACAGACAGCACGGCACTACACCAACCAGCCAACCAGCAAGACGCTCTCTCCCCCCTCCCAATGAGATGGATGTACGTGTGTAGTGTAAGTGTGTCCCTCTCGCAGTGTCGCAGCTGCCTCGGCAAAGGAGCCAAACCATGCAGCCGAGACAGAACGATCGCGACACGTGTGTGCACCCACAGACCCACCCCCGCGCAGACAGACACCGACACGAACAGATCTTTCCAGCCAGGCGAGATGGCGTGATGTGAGTAAGATGTCTGTGTGTCTGTCTGGTGGGAAGGAACACTGTATTCGCTTTCCTCGCCCAGCCACCCACCCACCCCACTCAGGCAGGGAGGCAGGGCGAGACAAATAAAGAGTATGTGGACCATTGAAACGACGCTCCCACCCACCCAGCCCTCCACATCACTCACATACAGTCAGTGCATTGGTCGATCGATCGTTCGTTCGGCTGTGTGCGTGTGTGCTGCTGTTCAAAACTCCCCTTCCTCTCCCTCCCTGCCGTCAATCAACACTTATCCACGCTGGCTGAATGAATGACACACAGGCGATCCATGAGCGGCTACACTGGACTGACGCAGTCGGGTGCGAGGGTGGGCGAGTGAGAGAGCGAAAGAGATAAATGATATGATGATCCCCTTGTCTGTCTGTCTGTCTGTCTGTCTGTTTGGTTCTGCGGATAGGTGAGAGTGATGGTGAGTGAGTGCACTGAAAGGCATGCAGGCAGATAGGAAGTAGTGAGTGTGTGTTGGTGTTGGAACCAATGCAACCAACACACTGGCTGGCTCTTGCCAGTCATGTAAACCAGCCAGGCGTTGGTGGGACGGGACGAGACGAGACGACTGCACCCCCCAACGCACACACAGACGCAGCAGGCTGCCAGCCAGGCAGCCAGTGAGTGAGTCAAAAATCGATCTGTCGATCCACGACACGCGCCAGGCACGCCCTGCCCCGATGTGTGCCTCCCCTCCCCTCCCCCCCTGGCCGTCCCTGCAGCCATGAAGCGCATGCGATGTATTCCGGCATGATGGCGATGATGATGGGGTGTGTGTGTGTGTGTGTGTTGTCGATAGCTCAATCGGTGGTGGTGGTGCGCTGACACAGCGACGAAAAAAATGTCACCTCACTCGCTCACTCACTCAGACAAAAGGCAGGCAGGCAGGCAGGCAGAGAGGTGACTTGAAAGGAAGAACTAGGGAGCTAGAACATAATAACACATACGCACTCTCGTCGCACCACGGAGCCATGTCGGCGTCCGTGGACAGCTGGATGGATGGATGGATGGATGGCCGGTGGGCCGTATGAAACAAAGATCGACCAACCGACCACCAGTATTCCAGCCAGTGTGTCCACCCCTCTCTCTCTGGCTGTGTGTGCTCCCCTCTCCCCTCTCTCCCCTCCCCTCCCTGCCCTGTGCCCCTCCAAAAAGCCTAGCTAGAGAGCACTCACACACACGTGGCCACACTGCAAACACACACCCCTGGAGGGAGGCAGGCAGGCAGGCAGCCAGCCAGCCAGGCGACGATTCTGCCCGTCTGTCTGTCTCTCTCGCTTAAATGCCCGGCCACCATATACTCACTCATGGACAGACTTCGAGATATGCACTGCACGTCAATCCTGCCTGTCTGCCTGCCTGCCTGCCTGTTCTCTGTGTCAGTCGGGTCGGCGACTAGTCCCTCCCGGCCATCCACGAGGGCATTGAGTTGGTGCTGTTCTGCGCCACGATGTCGCCCGAGGCCCAGAGGATCCAGAAGAAGATGAAGCACACCCACACGCACAGCGACCCGTAGAACTTCCACGGCTGGTCCAGACACCGACGCCACTTGACCGGGAAGCCCCCCCTGTCGTAGATGACCAGGGTGGCGCACGCCGTGAAGATCTCGATGGTCAGCTGCACCAGGAGGGCGGCGAGGGCCTGCTTGGGGGGGCACTCGGTGCGGCCCAGCTGGATGAGGCCCGGGAAGAGGGCCGGGGTGAAGGAACCCAATATGGTCTGCATCACACCGGGGATCACTATCGCTGCAAACTCACTCAACAGACCTGATTGGTCGATCGGCGCACAGGACAGGCAAATATCACATATATCCACACATGTGCATCGTTTGCTGTGCTCAGCCTGTGTGTCCGTGCCGTGAGTCACTCCTTACACTTACCGACATGCACGTCGAGGACGAACACATCTACTGCCCGCTCCCACTTGCGGGGGTCCGAGGACATGCGCCAGAAGCGGCAGCCGGACGTGGCGAACCGCCACAAGTCCATCGACCGCCCGTACAGCGTGTCGCCCGTCACCGTCGTCATCGACTCCGACCGGTTCACCGCCGCCGCTCCGTCACGCGACGGCTGCTGGGAGATGGATGGCCCCAGCGTCAAGATGGCCATGTCCAACCCGCCCTCCCGCCCATAATCCTCGGACGCCATCCCCTCCCCCTCCCAGCCGTCCTCCCAGTAGACACGGCTGCCGGGCCCCTCATGGCCAGTGTTGGTGTCGTTAGGCTCGTCCCGAGGGCTCTCGCCCTCACACGGGAAGGGGTCACCGGGATGCACGTCGGGGCGAGGGAGGTCGGGAGGGCAGGGGGACTGCATGGGCGGCGGAGATGGCCTGAAGATGGGGTAAATCTGCCGTGGTGTGGGGGGGTGGCTGGCCACCTCGGCTGAGCAGCAGGCGATAGCGCCGAAGAGCGAGCAGGAAGCTGGGCTGCTGAGAGACCTGCTCCGGCTGGCGGCAGTGGGAGGCCTGCAGGGGCCGCACGATGGAGGGTCCACCATCTCGTGGTGGAGCCTGGGTACCCCATTCTTCTTGTTGCTCTTGTCCCGCCATCTGCGGCTGCGGCGTTTGCGTCTACCCCTGCTCTGCCGCGAGGAGCTGGTGCTGCCCACCTGCGGCTGGCATCTCGCCTCCTCGGGGATAATCACCTCAGTATCCTGCTGCTGCTGCTGCTGCTGACGCTGCTGCTGATGCGGCTGCATCTCCTGCAGACAGGGAGGGTCAGGCTCGTCGGGCAGGTCAGCGATGGTCTTGGTTGGCGCCAGGGGGTCGGGTGGGGGCGACATCTGTGAGCAGCTGGACGAGGCGCTGTTCTGGTGCTGAATCATGAGAGGCGCCTTGCCCTTGAACACGTCCTTTCTCTTGTCGTCGATGGAGAGGCTGCCGTCTCGCCTCGCGAGCCTGCGGAGCCGCTTGTAGACGCACAGCCACACGACCCGCCAGAAGAGGTCGAAGCAGCTGTCGAGGAGGGAGGCGATGGCCACGGTGGAGAACTCGGGCAGACGCAAGATGAAGAGACGCAGAAGCGCTAGGGAGAAGGTGCGATACTGAGCAGATGTGACACACACCCGACACACGGACACAGAGACAGACCCATTGGCTCGGTCGGTCGATCACATACATCTCTCTCTGCGTGTATGTTTCCTTCCTTGCTCACCATGAAGATGTTGCTGCCGTAGACGGAGAGGGGCACGTTGACCCTGACGTTGCGGTAGATGGCCCTCTGTATCATCTCGACGGCCTCCAGGACCACGTAGAGACAGACAATGTAGGCCACGAACAGCCACATGATCTGGTCGGCCGACCCCAGCCACCGGTCCCCCAGCCACTCGATGCGGTCCACGTCCTCGTCGTACTCTATCCACCAGCGGATGTAGCCGTACAAAAACGACGCGGCCATGATGCCACAAAACGACAGAAACGTGGCCAGCACCACCATCAGGAAGGGCTGCCAGCTCTTGAAGGGGCGCCGGGGTTTGGGGGCCGCGATCCACGCCACTATGGGCGCCTTGATGAGGAAAAAGACGTCCACCAGCACCGACCAACGGTTTTGGTAGACCAGCGCCGCATCGTCCGGCAGCTTGGCGAGGGTGAAGCCCGCCGCGAGCATGACGACCACGGCCAGTGAGTAGGTCAGGATGCACCTGCGTGTCCCCAGGACGCCCTTGGGCAGCAGGAGGACGCTCCACACGAGCAGTGCGCCGTCCATGGTGAAGAACATGGGTATGCGGGCCATGAGGTAGTAGTCGCAGAACCGCAGCGACGTGCTGAAGTAGACGATCGTCTTGATGATGACGGCCATAACGGCCACCATGACGGCGAAGACAGCCGTGACGGCGAGCAGCATGAGGAAGGTCACCCCGCTCCTGTTGATGCACTCGTTCCAGTCGAAGTCGTCCTGTGCGTCAGGCAGGCAGCACTGGCACCACCACCGACGCGTCGGTGGGATGGTGCGCTTGGGCGAGGGGGATGACGTCCACGGGCAGTTCTGCAGGGGAGGGAGGGGGGCGGGTGAGAGGGCGGGAGGGGGCGCCCGGGTGTGGTCGATGCGGGAGAGGCCCAGGGGAGGCGAGTCGTCTAGAGACCCGTCCACAGACGGCAACAGGTGCTGTGGCCGCTCGTGCACCTGCACATACGCACAGACAGACAGACAGACAAATGAATGAGGAGGCACCGCGCGACGAGGCGAGAACCGAGTGCATTCTCTCACCGGCATGTCGACTGGCTGTTGCCTCTGCAACCCCTCTGCTGCGTCAGGCATCTTGGTGTCCGGGCTGCACTCCCACCCGACTCCCATGGTGCTGACGGCAGACGTCACAGATACCAGCACTTCGCTGTTGAACAGCACACTAGGTGGGTCATCCGCCGCCTCGCTCTCTCCCTCATCGCTGCTGTTGGTGCTCTCTGGCGCCTCGGTGGACGGCGCCGACCTAAGAGGCTGGATGCCGCCTGGCCGCGGGCCGTGCAGGGCCCTCCCGCTGGCAGTGGGACGTCTGGGGTGATGGCGACTTGCCGAAAGCCGGATGCCTTCGACAGGCACTGCGAAGCTGTCCTCTGCCGGGACGACGCAGATCGTCGTCAGAAGCTCCGCCATGCCGCCCTCGTCAGTCAGGAGGCTGCCACCTGTGCAGTGGGGAGGGCGGCTGAGGCAGATCTCAAGGCGCTATTATATGCACAGATCTGCACCACTCACTGTTTCGCGCACAGTAGTGCCCTAACCACAACTGGGCGGCACACAACATGCAGGCTGTCTGTCTGTCCGTCTGTCCATCCATCCATCCATCCATCCATCCATCCACAAGCACCAGTGTTTTCTGGCCTGCGTGTGTCATGTAGGTATGTCACTCGACGGTCATGCTGCCCAGTGTTGCTCGCGGCTCGACGCCCTTGTCGCGCAGCCCCTTGCACATGGCCACCTTCCACCCCAGCTTGAGCTGCATGCTGCCCCCTGGCCACTCCCGCAGAAGACCGTCGATCCACAGATAATCGGCATACGACGCCTTGTGCAGGTCGAGAATCTCATCAAGCGCCTGGCCCGAAACCTCCTCCTAGCAGACAGACATTGCACCAACCAGCCAGATAAAGAAGGTAGGCAGGCGGCCATGCCATGGGTGTGCTGTCTTTGTCACTCAGGTCGCCTACCTCCAGCAGGGTCGGTGCGATCTCTTGCAGTTTCTTGTACTTCTTGCCGGCGTCCATGAGTTTGGCATGCACCTTGTCGGCACTCAGCTCTGCCAATGGCACCTTCTTGCTCCTCTCCACTGCCTCAATGTCGCCGCTGCCTCTGCGGTCGGGCGTCAGGAACATATAGAGCTGAATGGCTGGGCCGGCCCGCATGCCCCACTGCTCGCGCATCGTCTGGACATCACGATTCTCAACCAGCACCTGCATCAGCGTGTCCGCATCCAACTGGTGCTGTACACAGGAAGGGCAGCATGGCATGGCGCACAGAGTCAGTGACAGGACAGACAAAGACTTTCCTTCTGTGTGTGGCTCACTGCAACGATGACCGACGCCAGCTTTTGAACTTCGGGTACATCGCTGGACCGCATGCGCTTTGCCAGCTTCTTCACCGCCTCAGGGGCGGCAGCAGCCACCTCTGGTGCCTCATTTCCTCTCGCAGCAGCAGCACCCTGCGTCACGTTCACCTCGATCAGCGGCGGAATGGCGCCTTGCTTCCGAGCCTTGGATGCGCGCCCTTTCTTGGGAGGGATGGCGGCGGCTCTCTTGCGGCTCGACGGCCTCTTGGGCACGTAGTCCTCTTCGTCGAACTCGGGCTGGTACTCATCCTCCATCTCCTCACCACCTGCCGACTCATCCTCGGGCACGTAATCTTCGTCCATGTCGGGGCAGAGAGAAGGGAAAGAACTTCGCCCCCCTTCAGCTAAGCTCGCATCTGCGAGCTGCGCCAGAAGGGCGTTTCCTGGCCTTTTTCGCTCTCTGTACTTCCCAGGGCCTTGAGAGCAGCAGTTGGTGAGTCCAACCGGCCGGGTCGGCTGCTGTCGGCCCTCTGTTGCATTCCCCGGTGCCAGATAGTCATCCAACCATCCATCTGTGTGTGGAGAGAGAAGCTGAAGTCAAGCAAGAAGAAGCAGAATAGTCGAGAGTCCGCCCGTCCGTCCGTCAGGGATGGGTCTGTTTCGTTTGTTTCGGCTATGCTTCTCCGTTCCTCTCCGTTTGTTTCTGGACACGGTGCTGTTCCTCTCCCTCCTGGGCTTTCTCCCCTGGTTCTGCTGCTTCCGCCTGTGGGAGGGGGGCCTCAAGGTCTTCTTCGGCGCCATCCAAGTGCTGCTCGAGTTCCAACGCACACAATGGAGGAGGTGCGAAAGAAAGCCATACACACACGGACAGGGAGGGAGGGAGGGAGGGAGGGGCCCAGCGACAAGGTGGATGGATGGATGGATGGATGGCTTTGTTGTCATGTCAGGTTGTTGAGTCTGCTGCGGCCGTTCCAGTGGCAGTTCGACGCTCTCTTCGCCCGGCACTACTTCCAGCTAAAGCGGCGGGTCGTGTCGATCATCCGGCCGCTGGTGCACATCACCAAGCACTTCATCGACTTCCTCATCGAGTCGCTCCTGACCAGGATGTATGTGCTGGGCCAGTGGGTCAAAGCCGGCTCGGCTGCCGGCTTCATCGCTGTGTCGCTGACGGTGCTGCTGTTCGAGACGCTCCGTGAGAGCGTGAGGAACGCCATCAGTGCGGTCAGGCGGACGAGGGAGAGGCTTGGGCAGGCCGTCGTGTGGCTACAGAAGGCACTCTCGGCGGACAGTGAGGTCGGAGAGCCGGGGGGCGGACACATCGGTAGTGTCTGTCTGTGAGTGTGTGTGTGTGGATGGGATGGCTTCAGGCGCTGAGCAGGCGATTCATCTTGTATCGGATACTCGACACACGACTCACCAAGGCAGAGAACACCGTCATCGGATGCCTGGCGGTGTGCACACTCCTACACACACACACCCCTCTATGTATCTCACAGTCGTGTTGTGTTGATGTGTGTGGATGTTTGGGTGGCGGCAGCGTGCGACCAAGAACATAGACACGGCTGTCGGCCAGGCGCAGGATGTGGCCTCCGGCATGGCCCTTGACATCCGCCTCACCTCATGGTCGACACGACTCAGGATACTCCCTGACCCTGCAGCACTCCGGTCAGTGAGGGAGGGACCACACACAGGCACGCAAACGCGGCGAGCGACTTGGATGTGTGTGGTCTCTTTCTGTGCCTACGTGCAGCCCGTTCTCGCCGTGGATGGTGATTCGCCACCCCGAGCGAGCCGGCCATCGCAAGACATACAGAGGGTGGCTGGGCTGGCTGACAGAACCAACGACACATGGATGGATGTGTGCGTGACTGTGTGGTGTGTCAGATATGGGTTGTGGTGTGTGACCATCATGGAGGCCAAGGCCGTGGATCGCACCGCCACTGAGGCGGGCCGCTTCAGGGACCCCTGGAGCTACCCATACGTGCGGGTGGGGCGCGACGGGCTCCACTTCTTCCGCACTGTCACGGCACACCACAACGGCACACAGTGGAACTTCGCCTTCATGCTGCCGGTACATTTACACACACACACTGACACACACACACACGCACACAAACCGATGGATCCACTGTGTTTTGTCGTGTCGTCCCGGCGGGTCACACAGGTGTACCATCCGCACAGCGAGCTGACGTTGGAGCTGTTGGATTACGACCCCGTGACGGGGTGGTCGCACCCCATCGGCCTCATGGCCTTCCCCGCATGGAGGCTCCAAACCAACAAACGCAGGCAGGGTCAGTGAGTGATTCGATGATGAGTGAGGCAGGCCACCACGCCACAGATGGATGCAGGCTATCCGTCCCAGAACTGGGTGCTGCGATGGGTGCTTTCTTGTGTGTGTCAGGTTGGGCGGCGCTGTACGCCCCGCCGGCAGTGCACGGCCCTCCCGCCCCTCCCGGCGTCACGGCCTGGCTCAGACTCACCATGGAATTCAGAGTCCAGTCCGTCTTTCACGTGAGCGAAGCGACCGACCCGCCAAAGCACCGCACCCCTCTCTCTGCATGTGTGGTGTGGGTGGATCCATGGGGTGACGTCTGTCTGCTGTCATGTGTATCTTTCATTCATTGTCACGCAGGAGATCATCGCCCACGCGTTGCCGATGCCCAAGAAGAAGCAGACTTCCCACTCCAAGGCGGTCAGCCAGGCCAGCGGCATCATCAAGCCCAGTGACCCCGATTTCCCCGCCTCCATCGGCGACCCCCTGAGCCTCAACACTGCCATCCGACCCAAGGACGGCTTCCTCACTGGCGGCGATGGCGCGCGCCGCTCGCCACCGCAGTCTCAGCGATCGCCACTCGGGTGAGGCGACGCGCAGAACAGACATGTGAATGGCCGGCACCATGCCTGTGTGTGTCTGTGTTGTGTGTTGTGTGTTGTGTGTTGTGGGTGGGTGTAGTGGTTTGGTGAGTCCTGGTGGTTCGTCCGAGGGCGAGGGTGAGGACGAGCAGATGATGCAGTCGCTCATCGGGGCGGCCATGGTGCTAAGGGATCAGCTTGTCAAGAGAGGCATCACAAGACTCAAAGAGGTCACACACATACACAGAGAGAGAGAGAGAGATCGTCACACATCGCTCGCTGTACTGTCCATCTTGGTGTTGTGCATGCCCTTCCCCCGCCCAGGCGGTGTCTCTGGTGCTTCGGTGGCAGTACCCCTTTCTGTCCGTCACGGCCACGGTGCTCTTCTGGGCCACCTGCTTCAACATCGACCTCCTCCCTGCCCTCCTGCTCTTCCTCACCCTGTCCACGCTCGTCCACTACTACTACCGCACTTACAACAAGGCCCCTCACGCACGCTCACGGCCTCTCTCCCACCCGCCCTCGTCATTCCTCCCCGCCACGCCCATCAACCGGAGGCACAGAGGGTCCCCTCGTGGCGGGGCACAGCGGTCGCCAGCACACTCCCCCACCGGCCCCTCACAGCAGCCACGCTCTCCCCCGATGAGATCCTTCCTTAGCCCCTTCACGCTGCGGGCCCGCCGTCCTCCCGCCGAGGGGCAGGAGAGCGTCCCGTCAGTGCCGAGCAGTCTGGTGTTGCCGCCCCCTCGTGTGGCCGAGGGCGGCCTGGGGATGGGCGGCATGCATGCCGGACCAGCAGCACAGACACAGGGGGCGCGAGACTTTGAGCGAGATCGGGATCAGGAGGAGGAGACGGCACTGGAGGCGCCTATAGTGGTGGTGCCGTCGTCGATGGGCGCGACGGTCAAGGAGCCCCCTGCGGGCATGTCACTGCCGCTGCGGCTGAGGCTGCTATTCCGCCTGCTGCCCGCCAGCGTCAAGAATGTCCTGGTGGCCTACGTCAGGCCCGTCATCCTCGGCATTGCATACGTGGTCGGCAAGGTGAGTGAGCTGCAAAGTCAATCAACGGGGAACGAGGGAGGGAGGGAGCTGTGCGGGCGGACAAGAGCGGTCATCTCTCTGCGTGTTTGTTGCATCTCATCTAGATTGACGATTTGTTCCACTGGAACAACGTGTACGAGAGCTGGCTGTTCATGGCACTGCTCATGCTATGCGGTGCCAGCTATGTGATGGCGGGCCTCTCTCTCCGAGTGTTCCTCTGGTCGCTCTGGTCGGGCACCTTGGCACTCGTCTTCTGGATGTTCGTCCTCGCAGGTATATACGTCAGCCACACCAATACACACACACACCCCGTCAACAGTGACAGACGTCTCTCTCTTTGCTGCGTGTGTGTGATCCTTCCTTGATGGTCAGGCTCCTACGTGCTGTTGCGCCAGAGCCCGCCCTACCGATTCTGCTATGCCATTCTGCTGGGCGTCCGCACTTTGTTCCTTCGCCAGTTCTACGCCCTCATTTTGGAGCATGAAGTGCCAAGCCTGCCCCAGGCGATGCCCAACGGCCTCTCGCCTCAAAGCATCACCGAGTCCACCCGACCACCCACACCTTGACTTGACGACGGAGGCAGAAAGAGAAGACTGACTGACTGACAGGATGCCCGGCCGTCGTTGTCAGGCTTTTTTGTGCGCGGGGGGCTTTGTGTCGTGGGCGCGGCGAGGAGGCGGCATGATTGCATTGCAGTCAGTCAGTTTTTTCTGAAGTTTGTATGTTGTGGTTGGTTGTGCGTGCGGTTGGAGGTTGTGCGTGTGGTACGTCCGTATGTGTGTAAGGGTGTACGGGTGTCTGTCTGTCTGTCTGTCTGTCTGTCTGTCGATACGCGACTGTCTGTCTGCCTGCCTGCCTGTCTGGCGGTCTGTCTGTCTGCCTGTCTGTCTTTCTGTGTGCCCGTCTCGTCCTTCTGCCTGTCCTCCTAGCCTTCATAATTGGTCCGGATGCCTAGGCCTGTCTGCCATGATTGACTTGCTCTATTTGTCTGCTGGTTGTACGACTCGGGAGCCTCCGTGGAACGACTTTAACGTCCAACATTCGCCCGATTTCACCGGCAGCAAACAGGGTTTGTGGGGCTTAGGGTTTGGGGGCAAGCTGCGCTGAGTTGAAAAGATCATGAAGAAGAAGAAGAAGGGGGACTCCTCGGAGGACTTCACCCACGAGGGTAAGCACACATGGTGCCCGGAGATGGAGAAGAAGCTCATGGGGGAGCTCGAGGAGAAGGGCGCCGACACCACCGCCAAGAAGGATGCGTGCATGGCCCACCTGGTGACGACGGACGACTGGGGGAAACTCTGTGCCGCCGCAGGCAATCCAGGGCCCGTGTGCAAGACGGCCTGTAAGAAGGTAAGCGGCTGACCTGGGGAGAGGGAGAGGGGGGAAAGGGCAGACAGCCTGAGAGCATGAGAGGGGAGGGCCCTATGGGAGGGCCACGAGTGTGTGTCCTACGGCCCGGTCATGGATGTGTTGTGGGCCATCGACCTTCTCTCTGTCCACTGCCTCTGTGTCTCCGTCGGCTCTGTGTGTGTGTGTGTGCAGCGCCTGACCTTCATCAAGAAACACCTGGCCGACTACGAGTGGGCGCATGACATCCTCGGCAAGATCGACGCCAAGGCTTTCCGCAGCCGCACTTTCAACGCCAAGAATGAGATGATAGCGTCGGTCAAGACAGAGGAGGAAGGGAAGGTTCGCGGCAATGTCGACAACATGGGGCGGCTGGCGACCGACACCACAGTCGACGCCTCACCGCTCAACCGCTCGACTGACGGAACCGCGCCACTCGACAGCACACGCCAGAGCAAGAGCTGCTCGGGGGGTGAGACATACACACACAGAGAGAGGATGGGATGGCTGTGGCTGTCTCCGTGTCTCTGGGGTTCTCTCACTGTGGGCCCATTCTTGTGTGTCTGTGGTGCAGATTCTGTTGCTGAGGAGGTCAAGCCGACGACGGACGGCAAGGACACAATCAATGAGACACACAAAGGCCAGATCATGTGTCCTCCCTCTCTGTGTGTGTGATCGATCAGATGGGATTGTCATAGAGAAGTCTCTGGCTCTCGAGGACGGTGTTGACAAAGGCGCTGCCCAGCCGCTGAGCCGCTTCGGGCGGCAGCAGAGAAAGAAACAACTCGGCACTGACGGTCAGGCAAAGAGACACACCAAGGGCCACCGCCACCTGCTGTCTCCCCTTTGCAGAGGTGGATCCGTTCACCGCGCCCGTCGTGGCGACCACCCCGGCTGTCAAGATGGCCAAGAAGACACGTGCGGTGACAAGACGCCAGCCGTCCAAGCCGCCCCGCTCGCCCAAACGCAGTGTGCCGATGGCCTTGGAGCGGCCTTGGAAGCCTGAGCTCTTCGAGATGCAGCCGAGACAGTATGTGCGATTGTACACTGACTCTGACTCTGACGAAGACTCGCATTTCGGCCGTCAATCGCACAAACGGACAGATAGCTGTGATGAAGCTGAATTGGTGATGCTGCAACTGGCGCCCGACACACTGTTGCCCAAGACGGCCTCCGCCAACCCCTCAAAGTTTGAAATGGCCCAAACTGACCTGAAGGAGCGTGGTGAGTCCGCCAGTGCCGGCCAGCAGACACACAGCAGCCCGCCCACAGTCATCGAGTTCGATGACCGGTTCGATCCCCCCAAAGACGGCAAGTCGTACGTATTCCCTGACATCGAGTGGCGTCGCTTCGAGGAGCGCCGCTACGACAAGGACAACAACTGCCTCTACATTGGTCGCCACTTCGACAGATTCGATCCGGATGACTTCATCGAGCTGACCAAGATCTTCGACACGCGATGCAGCAAGAAGACGGGTGGGGAGAGTGATGCCGCCGAGCAACCGGCGGGAGGACATAAGGGGCCGCCCAGCTGGGCCGAACTGCAGGCCGCCCTTAACGAGAACGAGAAGAAGCGGAGACGCCCCTGGGAGGGAGAGGACAGCTTCCACCCGCGAGTGGGCGTCCATCCACACGCACATGGGCTGGGCTGCGGCCTCGGTCGTTTCAATGAAGAGGTCACTGACAGACACACAGAAGGAGACACATACCGAGCCTCCAAGAGACTCTCTTTCTCTCTCTCTCTCTCTCTCACTGCTGTTTGTGCCTTCAGTTTTTGTTTGGCTTGGAGGATAAGCAGAGAGGCTTCTGCAACCACGGATCCATGTCGCTGCAGGACGGTACACACGCAAGACATCACCCCAGCCGTCCCCATCTCTCATGGTGTCTCCCTGCCTGTCTGTCTGCTGATTGCTGGCCTTGTCGTCTTCAGGTGGTGGCGCCGACACGCTCGAGCCGCCAGCCAAGAAGAGCCGCACCGCTACCAGCGCCGCCGCCTTCATGAGCAGCTACTCGGGCTCGTCCTTTGGCCGCAGGGAGTCCATCCTCTCGCAAGACGACGATTCGATGGGCGATGGCGGCACCAAGGGCAGCACTTGGGGGCCCCACCCGTGGCTCAGCCAGGAGCCCCTGGTGCGCAACTGGAATCTCGACCCGGACCACCCGGACAACCGCCCCCTGCCGCCCGAGATGCGGCTGGACTTGGAGGCCCGCGCCCGAGAGATCCGGGAGTCACAGATGCGATACGCTGACGCAATCGCCGCCGGCAGCTTAGACTGGGGCGACGAGAACAACGAGATGGTGACCTGCGGGGCGGAGGGCGCTGCTGCTGCTGCTGCTGCTGGTGGTACGGGCGGATGGAGATCGAGCTGTGAGCAGAGTGCTGGAGGGGGAGAGGGGGGGAGGGGGGCGAGTGAATGGGCTGGGAGGGGCGAGTGTGAAGGGTTGGGGCCTGCGTGGACAAGGAGGGCCGGGGGAGAGACACCCACACAGAGATGATGGTTGAACGAGCCAATTGCTCCGCGCAAAGACATCCATGGCCATGAACCGCACTCAGACAGACAGACACGAACAGCGACAAGTCAGTTAACACAAGACGGGCCAGGCCGTCTGTGTCCTCATAATCTGACTCGCACACACGAGCACACGGACCGTCTGTCTGTCTGTTTGTGCGTCTGTCGGCCGTCTGTCCACTCTCACTCACACATGATCCATCTGCCCGCGGGGGCCGATGGTGACAAAATGTGCCGCGGACTGAACCTCGGTGGACAGACGGCCCACTGACGGCCCCACGAATTCCGGATGATCCAATCTGTCTGGACGGATGGCAGACAGACACACACAGTACACACGACCACTCTCCAGTGTGCGGGCCATGCAATTGTGGCAGCTGCTCCTGTTGGTGTCTTGGCGAGCTGCTGGCGTCGTCTCGTTCCATCCAACGACCACAACAGCATGCTATCAGCAGCCCACACACACACACACGTCGTCACACAAGTGTGTGTGTGTTTCTATGTGTGAGTCCCTCTTTGGCGTACGTCAGTTCCATCCCTTCTTGTCGACGTCACACACGCTGTAGTTGCCGCCGTCCTCGGCCAAACTCGGCGGCCGGTCGAACACAGCCAGTCGAACACAGCCAGTCGAACACAGCCTATGCTCTCAGAGAGGAACTTTGGCGCGTTGATGGCAATCACGACTGGGCCGCGGTGGAACACCTCTGCCTTGATGCGATCCTCACCCCCTCGAGTGCTCGTGGAACCCACCTGGCAGCCAGTGGGGGACCAACACACAACCAACAGCCACAGCCACCGATCTGTGTGTGACGCGTGTGCGGCTTGCTTGCTCTCTTGCTCACCGACGTACCGTGCGAGTATGACTTGGCGAACCAGAGCAATCGGCAGTCGTCGACGTCGACGACTGGTGTGTGAGCGGTGGGGCAGGGGACGTTCGTCTGCGTGGCGGCATAGCCCAGACACTTCTCCTCATGCAGACCCACCTCTGACACACACACACTAATGAGGAAGCCGATGCGACTGAGCAAAGGGGACTGACTGACCTTGCCGACGAGTAGACGGTGGGTATCCACCGTCGCAGCCTTGCATGGTTGTATGGCGAACAGCTCAGCACCGCCTGCGCAGCAACAGATGCCGCTTGTCCCTTTTATGCTTCTTACAGAGAATTTACAAAAAGGTCTCGAAAACCGTTTACGTGTACCGTGTACGCGGCCGAAGCTTATCAGCAGCAGTCCGCACTCTACGCGCGAGAGGGGGACTGACGAACACCGCAGCATGGCCGAAGCAGCCTGAGACCAAGCCTCTCACGCCTGCCCTGCCTGAGTCGTTTTTCTTACCTGCCTGCCTCCCGCCCCCTGACTGACTGACTTGCCTTCCGCTTTCCTCTCCCTCCTGCGCCCGGCCGTCCGTCGTTGGCCTTTTCTTTGTTTGTAGATTACTTTGGCGCTTGTTTGATTGACCGACCGGTTTCTGTGCGTGTGTGAGGGGCGTGCGTGAGTGTGTGTGTGTGTGTGATGTGGCTGCTGATATATTTGTGAGTAATCATCGTCTGTTGCGGTCCGGTGCGGTGAGGTGCGGTTCGGTGGATGCGTGGAGGTGGCGTTGATCCATGCGGTCGATGGTGCGGATATCGGCCTCAAGGGACCAGTTCTACAAGACCAAAATATGCCCACACCACTCCGCCGGTGAGCGAAGCGAGCCACCTCCGAGCAAAGAGGGCAGACACAGACCAGACAACAAACTAACTGTCGGGTGTGTGTGTGTGTGTGTGTATGTGTGTCTTTGTGTAGGCAACTGTCGGCGTGGCGACGAGTGCTACTACGCTCACAGTGAGGAGGAGCTGAGGACGCCCCCCAACCTCCACAAGACACGGCTATGCGACCGATGGATGCAGGTGCCCAACACATGCATCACATCACACGCAGAGAGAGTAGAGGATGCACTCATCTCATCCATATGCGCCTGCCTCCACACATCATGATTGTGTGGCGTCACGTCAGAACGGCTCCTGTCCCGACGGCGACAAGTGTCCCTTTGCCCATGGCGAGAGGGAGCTCAGGTGCACCGACGACTACTTCAAGACCGGTCAGCAAACCACAGCACAGCACAGCACAGCACAGCACACGAGGGAGCAGCAGACAGACAGACAGACAGACATGTGAGAGTGATGCGCGCGTGTGTCAGATCTGTGTAAGTACTGGAAGGCCGGGAGGTGCCACGCGGGCAAATCGTGCCGACATGCACACGGTGAGTGAGTCAGTCAGGGAAAGGAGCTCACCAGCGAGACAGCGCACCGCGCCGCCTATCAGATGGGAGGGTGCACATATGTTGTGCGAATGAATGAACCATTCCTGTGTCTTCGTTGCCTTGATCCTTGGACACGTGTGCATCAGGGCTGGAGGAGCTTCGGCCGCGCAAGTGAGAAACCACAACTCAATCACTCACCAGTCCACTCACCCAGACCGACTTGTGGATGGATATCTCTCTCTCTCTCTCTGTTCTCATTCGTGTGTGCAGGTTCCGTCCTGACGAGATCGAGCAGATGAAGCATGGCGCGACGCTCTACGACATCCTGCGGGACCGGCAGGCCTCCGACGGGCCGCCCATCCACCTCTCACCGGGATCTGAGCTCGAGGTCACACCCATCACCCACCATCCCACCCACCCACACACACACACACACATTAAAGGAAGATCCCTGCACTCCTTTGGTGCGTGCAGACACTCGAAGCGATGGGCCTGCGCAATCTCTCTGAGCGGCACGACCAGCACCCTGCTCTCCGGTATAGGGGCGACGGCATCAAGCCTCCACGGCTAGACGAGAATGCGGGCACGGGCGAGACGCCGGGCGGTGCGAAGGGTGGTGGCCGCCCGGGCGGGATGGACGTGCAGGCGCTGATCCAGGCGGCAGCGAGGATGCACAACAACAGCAGCTGCAGTCACCACCAGCCGCCTTTGGTGAGGGGTGCGAGCGGTCCGGCGATGGCCGGCGGGGGTGGACTGGGGCAAAGTACCCCTCCGCCCTGCAGAACACACGACTTGCCCAAACCACCACACGTAAGAAAGATCACTGACTGACACGAGATGACACACAGAGACTGGGTAAGAATTCTCATCTCTCTGTTGGCTTGTTCGTGTGTGGTGGCGGTATATATGTCATTGATGTCATCAGAGTGCGTCAGTGGGCGACTTGCTCAAGACGATCGTGCCATCCCGCGACCAGCAGCACCAGCCGCCGCCTCGCCCGTCAGCCCCGCCCCACCCTGCCCCCTCCCCCAGCGCAGCCGTGCGGTTCGAAGGCCTCCCCTTCTTCCACCCACACCCACACGCCCCTCCACACCAACACCCACACCCACACGCACACCATCCCAGGGGCATGCCCCTGCCCATCGCGGCCGTGCCATGCATCCCCTCGCAGCCGCCATTGCCGCCATACCCGGCCTCTATCATGGCTGCAGGAGGCGACGACCGCCGTCACCCAGCACACCCTGCGCACACGGGCAGGCCGCCGATCGTCCCGCTCGTCACGCCGCTGACCATCACTGGCACAGTGGTGCCACCGACCGTGCCCTCATCGGGTGCCGGTGCTGCCAACACAGCGAGCACACCGGCCACTGCGTCGGCGAAGGCACGGAGGCCAAGAGAGAGGGGCGAGCGGGGTGAGCGGAAGGAGAGGCGGGCGGGGGAAGAGGACAAGTCGGTGCCGAGTGTGGGAGCGAGTGCGGGTAGCTCGCCAGGCGTGCCGGGGAGGCGTCACAGGCGGCGGCATGGCCGGAGGGGTGGGGAGGAGAGGAAGGGCAGCACTGTGGACGAGGAGAGTGCTGCCATTGACCAAGAGCAGGAGGAGGATGCTGCGGCAGGAAGGAAGACTGGCGAGACCGGGGGCTATGGCGGCAGGTGGGTGCGGCGAACATCTTCACGCTCTGTCTGTGCGCTCCCTCGCTCACCCTGTCCTTTGTCTGTCTGTCTGTCTGTCTCTGACTGCCTGTGTCCCAAGCTCTCTCAGCCGCTCCACCACACGAGCGCCCGACAGCCCGTTTCTCACCTCCGACGCCGAGAGAGAGATGCCGTCAGGCCCCGCGCCAGTGCATTCCCAGCCAGCCACCCCGCCCCCCAAGCCCCCACACGCCAAACAACCGCACCATGAGGACGGCGAGACCACCACGGGCAGCATCGAGACCATCGACGACGACCTCCGCAGCCACTCTGCCCCCGCCACCCTCACACCCAGCCTCTCGCAGCCGGAAGGCCAGGAGTGGTACATGGAGCAGCAGCTGGGGCGGCGCGGTGCTGGTGGGGGCGGTGTCTCGTCAGGGGTCAAGGGCGACCATCATCAGAAGGACGGGAGCATCGGTCCCGTGAGTGTGGGGATGGCTGTGCCGTCGTCGCTCGAGACGACGCCCGAGGCGGAGGGGATGGGCGATTTGGTGCCGATGGAGGGCTTCGAGAGGCTGGAGCCGGGGGTGGACTCTTCGGCAGAGGATGGCGACTACAGGTGCGATGAGCCACACAGATGGACGGAGGGTCACATGTGGCCTTCATCTGCAATTCTTTCTTTCTTTCTGACCTTTAAATATTGACTTTTTGCAGTGCGGACGATCTTGACCACCAGCAGCAGCAGGGGTCGTCTTCTCGCCAGCCACTGCCACGGTCCAAGAGCTCCCCTTCCCTGCAGTCCACCCTCCTCCCCTCTCAAATCCGATGGTCCACCCTCCCCCCGCCCGACACAGAGACCACCCCCCAGGCCACCCCCCTCAATCCCAACCCCCCGCCCCCCACACCAGCCACCGGCCACGCCAAGGCCATGCACCCACAGCACCCGGCAGTGTTCTTCCCAGAGGAGAAGTTCCAGCAGTCACTCGCCAAGGCGGGGTACCCTTACCCACCGCGGCCCACTGCTGCTGGTGGTGTGGTCAAGGACGACAGGAAGCGGCACAACACGATCGCGGTGCCGTGTCCGTATGTGCATGTGGCGTCGTCACACGCGCACTACACCCACACGGGCGCCTCCCCGCTGCCCCCACTACTGCCCCCACCCCTCGACGCTCGCAAGACCGGCGCTCCGTTCGGGGCGCTGCTGCCGCACCCGCCCCCGCCAAGAGAGGAGGGCTCAATGGCGCCGTCAGGAGGGACCCCAGTGTACCCCTTCCCCCCACCCTTTGGCGGGCCACGTCTGGCCTATCCCGCTTCGCCAGAGTATCCCGGCGCCGCTGGGGGGAGTGCGGACGAGGGCGAGGGCGGGGAGAGGGGGGGACCACAGCAGCAGCAGCAGCAGCACCATGGGTGGAGCTACCCTGCTGCTGCGGGGATGCACCACGTCGGACACCATTATACGGTCAGCAAAGGGAATAAACAAAGAGCTCTTGCCTGGATGGATGGATGGATGTGTGTGTGTCTGCCGCGGTCATATGCTCACACACAGGCGCCACACGCATACGCCCTCCCCCCCGGCCCCCATGGCCACCCCGCTGCAGCTCACGTGGTGGTGGGTGTGACCCCCGAGCAGTACAGCGCCATGGTGGTGGCAATGGGCATGTCGCACGAGATGGGCCTGCCACCACCAGGACCCCCGCCCCCACACCCACACACGCACCATACGTCCGCACCGGCGAGCAGATCGGTGAGCGATGGCGGCAGTGGCAATGGCGGCAGTGGTGGAGGGGAGTCCCACCACCAGCAGCAGCAGGGGCAGCAGCAGCAGCAGCCGGCGGGTCCTGGGGGTGTTGCTGCGCCGAGCCCGATGCACTACCTCCTGGCTGCTGTGCCCTACGAAGGTCAGTCGGGAGGCTGGACAAGAGATCTCTTTGATGGAGGTCATGTGCTCTCTCTCTCTCTCTCCCTGGGTGTGTCTGGCAGAGGTGAAGCTGGCGCAGCCCGACTACTACGAGGAGTGAAAAGCGGAGAGGCAAATCGACGAGCGGGGGCATTCATGTGTGTGTGTGTGGCTGGGATGTGTGTGTGTCTTGGTGGGGTGTGTGTGTGTGTGTGTGGCGACTGGCGACTGACTACCCTAGGCGGCTGTGCGTGTGTATGGATGCGTGTGTAAGC